AGTACTGAATAAAGTTTAGTATTGTGAAAAACAGACCCAAAACAGAAAATGTCAAAAATTTGCTCTCCGGGCCTTGGCACTTTGGCAAAGGTCAGCAAATATCCACAACACATACTCTTAGGAGACTGAGCTTGCAATACTTACTTGAGGATTGATAAATTGCTGTAAGTCATAAAGAACAATATCTCTTGTCTTAATTGTCTAGTCTGATGCTGTTGACCTTGCAGGCTGGTCTGGAATCCAGACCTTCTCTACCAAAGAGCCATTGGCAGATGGAGTCAGCTGATTTTTTCGCCGTTGGGTTTTTGGAATGAAATTTTCTAATTGGTGGATGACATATGGAAATTTTAAGAGCATGCCTAATACTTGCTGATTTATCAAAATCTAGCAACAGGAACAAAAGTAAAATATACAGTAAAGTGTCTGGGCAAGAGCAGTTGCTTAATTTAATTTACTTTAATACTTATGCCGAAGGGGTTCTGCAGATTTTGAAAACAGGTGGATATTGATTAAAGCTTAGGCGTAAATCTTTGGCGGATGACGTCCACCAATTCCAGACTGGCTTGCAGGTACTGATGTACACTAAAGCAATTTGACCAAGCTCTGTTTTACTGGTTTTCTGTACTTGAGTCTCATCCCCTATACACATTTGACTTAGTAAATCCCCGGCTTAGAAGGTACGGCTTTTCCCGGCTTATCTCAGATTAGGCTAGTGGAACCTAGACTTATGGTGTGCATACTTGAAACAGTGGAAAAAGAAAAGAGAACTCAACAAGGAATTTTCACTGTTCATATAGTTTACATTTCTGTTACTTATCTATTAACCAGTTAACTGAGGCTAAAAAAGGAAAATGTCTCGATGGCTGTACTATAACTGATGATTTCTTGCCATGACTATGTCATAATCATAAGACATACTCTGAGCCACACCCTAATTCTCAGAATCTCTCCTGAATCTCTTGAGTGCTCCTATGCTGCATGCTATTGACAGATCTTGAAATATGGAAATTTGAAATGCAGAAATCAGTGCCCGGGTAAAGTATCCACAAGTGATATGATGTCCAGTTTGATGATAAATCCTGATCTTCCCGTTGTATGCCAAATATTTCCCCCCTAAGAATATATTTCTCTCCTCCTAAGCTAAAGGATGATTCTTAGTGTTAGGAAATAGACTACAGATTTGAAAAATTTGTGTGGTCTCTAGATTAAAGATTTCCTTTACAATTACAGGGCAATTTATATCTTCTATCTGTCTATATGTCAATCTATATCCCAAAAACTCTACGCTTAAACAAACAAAGGCGGCGCGCCAACTTTCAGCGCGTGAGTAGGGGACATCAGCCCGATTCACTGGCTCGCCGCGCTTTGGCGCGCTGCAAGCTCGTTCGGCTGCATGCCAGCTTTCGAGCTCTTTGTTTACACGCCGATCGGCGTCACCTGGCACCAAGGGGATATACATACATACATACATATATATGGATGTACTTTTGTAAATGCATGTATACATCTATACATATATATTAATATTTTTTGTACAGGGTAAATACTTAGCATATACATGGCCTCCTTAGATGTAAATATTCTGACAATGTTAAGCTTGAAGACTTCCTAAGTGTATTAAGTGTAAAGGACCCAAAAATCTATATTGTAAAAAAACTTCCTAAAACAATATTTTAAAAGAAAAACAAAAAACTTGAAATTGTCCCTTGGTATGGTTATCAAGCTGTCTGATGGGTTCTGTTCATGGTTCTTTTGGACAGACCATTTTGATCTTGGATTTGTTTATATTGCCTTTTTCATTTAAAATTTCAGGGAAGTCACCCAAAAGATGTGGTTATCACGGACGAACACCCCAAGACTCTCCTGTATCAGAAACATGCCGACTACATAGTAGGCTATAGTAAGAAGAAGGATGATTATGTAAGTATGATTAATAGCAAAAGTAATGACCATAAAGAATACATAGAACAAAATTAGTAGGTAATGAAGAATAATCTATCCAAGGTAAAGGATGAAGCATTTGACTTAATAAAAAACGTTTATTGCAGGAGTTTACAATGACAGAGCACTTCCGCATGTCAGGGATGTACTGGGGCATCACAGCGCTAGACCTCCTGAATCAGCTAGATCGGATGGACTCAACAGAAATTGTAGAGTTCATTTGCAAATGCCAAGACAAGGGAAGCGGAGGGTTTTCTCCCAGCATTGGCCACGATGCTCATCTTCTTTACACACTGAGTGCTGTGCAGGTGAGTGCAGACATGTTTTTGAGATGTTTATTTATTGTTTGTTTTTTTCATAGATTCATTGAAATTTTTAAATATTTGTGTGCTTTTATTATGGCGTGAATGATACAGCATATTGATAAAGAATTACATTTTGTTCAGATAAAAAAGCACAACTTGTTCACTGGTGCATATTCAGTTGTAGAAGAGTTCATGTACCCCTTTTAATTTGTTCATATCTGTTCTTAGAAGGTGACAATTATATATGTGATTGAATATATACAGTATGAAGAGATTACATAGCAGACATTAATTAGGGCTATGCCAAACCACCAATCAAACACCAGAGGGAATTATAAGCATGAGATTAAAGAATTGATTACTGTGAAAACCAGTATGAAGTTAGGAATATTATTCTTAAGTAAAAAAAATGAGAATTTTACCTTTCTACTTCTTTTATTCCACTGTCTTTTTAATCCACTAAGGTGAAGAGAATAATAATAATAAAAAAGATAAGTGTGTATTTTGATTCCAGATCCTAGTAATTCTGGAAGCTCTGGACAAGGTGGATGTGGAGGCCATAGTGAAGTACGTGGCAGGCCTGCAGAACGAAGATGGGTCGTTCTCAGGTGACCAGTGGGGGGAAGTGGACACCAGATTCTCCTTCTGTGCTGTTAATACGTTGGCCCTACTTGTGAGTATGAATGCAGTGACTTTTTATTTTTATTGCTCATTATAGCCTTTCTAGTATTATCATATTGTATACTGTATTGAGATTTTTTTCATTATTGTTATTAGTTGTATGCGATTATATAGTAACATAAAGGAATAGCTTGAATTGTCATTATACTATTCCAATTAGAAAATAAAGGCATGATATTGATATAGTTCTTTAGAAGAAAAATGAAGACCCTGATTTTTTTTGTGTACTGTATATCCTTACAGTTATTTTAGTATAATATTACAGATTTATATTTACAAAAATTTTCATAAAAAATCAGCTGTGCTCAGATTTTTTTTTTTTTTTTTTTTTTTTTTTTTTTTTTTTTTTTTGACAGGTGGTCATTCTTGATTCACATGAGTAAATTTGATTTAAATTTCTTTTTTTTTGTACAGAAAAGATTAGATGCAATAAACACAGAAAAAGCTGTGGAGTTTGTAATGAGGTGTCAAAATGTTGATGGAGGTTTTGGCACTCGACCTGGCTCGGAAAGTCATGCTGGTCAGATATACTGCTGTGTTGGACTCCTCTCCATCACAGGTGTGTGCAAATTTTAGCTTGAATTATTCAGATTTGGATAACTGTTCTATATATCATGTACCCTCACAAATATAAAGATTAGTTACATTTGTTACTATCATTTCTTATTCTCGTTACTCATATTATCAACTCCCATTCTGGTATAAAAGGTCAGCTGCACAGAGTTAATGGCGATCTCCTGGGATGGTGGCTGTGTGAACGGCAGTTGCCCTCAGGTGGGCTTAATGGCAGGCCAGAGAAGCTTCCTGATGTGTGCTACTCCTGGTGGGTGTTGGCCTCCTTGACCATGCTGGGAAGACTCCACTGGATCAATGCTGACAAAATGAGGGTGTTTATTCTAGCCACACAGGTAAGCTAGGTGGTTTTATCATATAGAGTGACTGTTGCCTTTGTTGTTAGCTTAGTGAGGCTTATAAATAGTATTGTGATTGCTGTTTATTGTTTTGTTGTTTCTGTTTTTTTGGGTGTTATACTTTTCAGAGACTAGCTTATATTATTGTATAGATACATCTTATTTAATCATTTATAGAGTAAGGATTTGTATTCATGCAAGGAAAATAAAATTTTGATTTTTTCTTCTTTCAGGATGCCGAGACAGGAGGTTTCACGGATAGACCTGGGGATATGGTGGACCTATATCACACACTGTTTGGTCTAGCAGGACTATCCTTGCTTGGAGAATCTTCACTGAAACCCATCAACCCAGTGTTTTGCATGCCCCAATATGTACTAGATCGTCTTTCGGTAACTGTGCAGATCATGTCAACGTGATGAAACGTTAATTCCTTTCTCTCATTGAAAAGTATGTACGATCTTAGTAAAAACTGACTGAATTTATCTTCTGCACCTTGTATAAATTATCATTTTCTGTACCATGGAAAGTATCCTGTGATTATACACTGAATTAATTACATCTTGATTATGAAAAGGTGTATGTATAGTGCATGTTCTGTACATTGTAAGTTGTCTATGACCTTAACTGAAAAGATTTATTAGGGTTTCATTCCTTGGTCAAGTTTTATACCTTCAACACATTTTGGGGCAATCATAATGTGTTTAATTAATTTATTTCCTTTTCTGCTGTAGAACCTCTGCATTCCACAATTCACAGTACATTATTTTCAGGCTTTTGTGAATAAGAGTAAATACTTGTATTACTTTGTTTTATTACCACATATGGAGAATTTTGCAAAGACATTATGACTACAATTGAAAGATTTTCAAGTAATACAACTTTCGATAATTTCGTGTTTTTTACACCCGTGACTGCGAAAAATTATAACTTTTTTAGTGTTTTCTTCTGTACAAATGGTCTTTTATTAGTCTCTGTACCAAGAATAATCAGTTTTCAAGGTAATATTTATAATTATTGCCATTAGACAGAATACAGTAATCATATTTGTAGAACCTATATCAATACATGGTTTTAAATATCAGTCAATCAGTCAATGAAGCTGCTGCCAACAGGAACACATAGCTGTATCCACCATTTGCTTCCAGCCACAAGGGTCTCTCACGGCAAACTGCCAGGCAGATTCTCAGCTCGTCTCCAACTTCTGGCAACAGGTCTGGTCAATCTGCCCAAGCCACTCTTGATTTTAAATATAAGATTTTATAAGGAACATAATATATTTCCAAAGAACCACTTAACGAGTTCTCTGAACATACATATGTGGGCCACTAAAATTTATGAGAGCTCTGGGAATATGGTAAGCGTTGTAGAAATAATTAATCATACAAAAAAAAATATTTATTTACACATTTACATAAATAACAAGAGCAGTAAACATATAATTGACACTAGATTCTCTTTCCCGGGAAAGAAATTATATTTTACCAATTGAATATTTCTTTCTTTTTCTTTTGTAAGGTTCTTTAAATGTCTAATAAATGTTTAGTCACACACAGTACATTATTGAATGGAGTTTTGAATTTCTTTCTCATAAGCAACTTTCAAATGCAGAACTTGATTTATAATACACCACAGATTAATCCTATTCATTTACAATATTTCTTATGAAGATGAAGTTGACTCTGTCTCTCCTTCTGCATTTGCTGCTGCCTTCCGATTTCTCCAGGCTTTAATATATGTACTTGGGTGGATGGGCAAAAGACCAGCAAGACCTAAATGGAAATGAAGTCATGTTATTATTATTCTTGAGAAATATTTTAAGATATAATTTAAACATTACTTTACTAAGCTCAAATTTTCATAACATTTTAGCAAAATCCTATGAATTTACGATTTTACCAAACTAATTTTAAAATAAAAACATTCTGCTGTTGCCTTTCAAAAATTCATACAGACATTAAAACGTCTGGATTTAGATAAGAAAAGCATACCCCATCACTTTCATGACCTCATGTAGTAGGAAACTACAGTGAACACTAAAGAAATAATTAATTTCAAGGTGCAGAGTCTTCCTTATAAAGAACCCCAATAAAACACAGTACCAATCCCTCTTTACTTACCAAAAAGGATACTACAGGGGAGGGAAATGTGTGCCCCATTGCCAATCCAATAGGTGGTCCTGTCAAGGTTGATAGAACACAGCTTTTCTCCATGGACATTCACCAATGGATCAAAGGTACCCAGTTGCTCTATAACGTGACCTTGTCGAGACTTTCTTTTCTGGAGTGGAGTGAAATCAAATTGTTCATAAAAGTGTCATTAACTGTATGAAGTAAATAAATGAGACAATGATTACAATAAAACATTATTTATAATTAAGTATACCGATATGAGGATGATAAAACATTAATTATGATTATATCTGAGAAGATATGTGAAAATGAAGAAGGAAGTAGATATGTGAAGAATTAAAAACAAATGTTACTGAGTAAACCTCTCAACACAATCCAACAGAAAGAAATGCTGGCATTCCCTGCTACCTTACCAACGGCTTGTGTTTGACATTCTGACAAATTATTTTGTTTCTTTATTTTCTATTCCAGTTAGGATCACTTTATTGTAGAAGTAAATACATCATAAGACCTTCTGTAAAAATCACATTACAATATTTAGTCTTGTAATTAAGAACCTACAAAGGCAAAGTATACATAATTTTTGTCTGATCATATAATAAAGTACTAGAGCACTTTCTTCACCACTTAACCCCTTAATGCCGGGTGACACCGATCAGCGTGAAAACAAACCGCTCGAAAGCTGGTGTGCGGCTGTATGCCGCGGTGAGCCAATGATTTGGGCTGATGTCCCCTACTCACGCTGCCTTTGTTTGTTAGAGCGTAGAGTTTTTTTTTTGTTTTGTACACCCGGCGCCATTGGGTTAAAAGCTTCAAATGCTTTTTTTTATGTTGATATACTGATGCCTTCTTACGTTTATATAAAAGGTAAGCCTAACTAAACAAAACCAATTAGAAGTACTATCAGTTGAGTTGGCAAAGAAAAGAAACAAAAAAACTACTGAAAAACAGAATCCTTGTGTTTTGCAATAAGTTTTCAGGAAATGCAACACACTCCTTACCTCCATGACAACAATGTGATAGAAGGGTCTGTTGGTACAGCCATGTTTAGCAAATCTTATAGCTTTTGTGGTTCTGTAGCCTATTCTTGCACCTCCAGAAGCTGGAAACATTTCTGAATTCTCTGTGGAGAAGAAAAAGAAAAAATATGTCAATATTTTTCTGGTTGAGTTTAGCAATCATATTATATATAAAGTAATTCTTGCTAATGATACTGCATCTCTCTGAGAGAGGAGTACTACATTATGTTAATTAGTTGTATTATTGTATAAAAAACATGAGTCCATAGCTGAGGAAATGCTTTATGCATCTATTGATTTTGCCAAAGGTTTATTGAAATTTGACATCTGATCCACTGTCTTTCCTGTTGGTAACTACAGCTTTTGCAGAGTTCCTGCAATAGAATCTAGGTTATTTTCTAGAACATATACACATCTTCGAACCCACTGAATTTGGTATCAGTGAACTCCTATCAATATCTAGTAACCAAACTTAAAAGAAATAATCAGCCGAAATGATAAATATCCACAA